GTGGGGATAGTTGGAGGGTGGAAAGGGGCAGGGTGTGAGGAATTTCTGGACGGAATGTTCCTCCGGAGGCTGTCTGCATTCTGCGCACGCCCCTCCCCAGTCCCCTTCCCCTCAGCCCTCGCTCAGGCTTGGGAACCTCCCCCCACCTTGTTTCCTTCCTTCAAAACAGCAGCTCACAGAGACATTTTTCCCAGCCCACCCTCCTTACAGGTCACAGACAGTGTCCTCCTGCGTGAGCCTCCAGGCAGTTAGGGCAGCCACCCCCCAACCTCCCAGCAGAAAGGCCCCTCCTGGCCCCTCCTCAGGCCCACACAGTGGAGGAGGGTAAAGGCATGTGTGGAGAGGGCGTGTGTGTGCCTTTTTTTGGGAAAAAACTGAGGAAAGGATATGCAGCTTCCCTTGTCCACCCTGTAGTTCCTGACCCCTCGAATTCAGGAAGTTCTCTCTGTTGTCTGATCTCAGTCTTTCCTACTGCAGCCCAGTTCCTCTTCTTTCTGTGGAAGTGTGGTTAAGAACTGTCTTCCTACTGAGGACCCGGGCAGAGGGCCTGCTACAACTAGTCTTTACTTATTCCCCGCAGGAAGGCAGTTATCAGAGGCCCTGCCTGGAGATCACTGCCAGGGAGAGGAGAGATGGCGTGAGGGGAGGTGAGAAGCAAGGCTCAAACAGCGGCTCTCCTGCAGACGGGCTGTGTGACCGTGGGATAGCCACTAAATCTCCCAGGCCCCCAGTTTCCTAAACTGCACCTGCAGTAATATTTACCTCCCAGGGTGGTTATACAGACTGGTGATCAGGAAAGCAAATCGCCCAGTACTGTGTCCCAGGCACTGCCAGCACTGAAGAAATAGTTGTGGTTCTTGCACTAAGTTTGTCAAAAGGCATCTCAGGACCAGGACCAGGGCCAGGGCCAGGCAAGTGAGCCCTCTAGGGTGCAAGATCTGAGGAGTCAAATCTTGGAATCAAATTCCTCAGGATTATGCAAGTGCGCTCACAGGACCTGACAGGGATGCCTTCCGAAATGTTGCACCCTGAGGGCTTTGCCCTAGTCTCCACTTTGCTTCGCTCTAACTGTTGGGTTTGGGACTCTAGAGCAGCAGGCCCCTGCTAAGAGCAGGGCTTGATTTCAGGTAGCAATAGGTTCAAACCCTGCCACCTGCTCCTAAGCTGGGTTCTGAGTTGTCCCTCCTGGGGGAATCTGGAAGACCCCGGTGGGACAGTGAGTCAGCTGCCCTCACTTTGGAAAGCCTGGGGACCTTAAGCTCCAGGCTTTGTCCTGGGACTGTGCAGTGGGTGGGGTCGGACGGAGGGGTCTGTATGTGTTCGGGCTCCACCTACTTCATCCCTCTACAGCTGACTTGAGGAGGAAGGAGAAGAGCCTGTAGGGAGGCACCAGCTCACCCTGCCAGCAGGATGGCTGGGGACCAAGGGTTAGGGCAGTGACATGAGCCTGGCAATGGACTTTACAAACCTGGGAGCCAGCTCTGGCCATGCCACGAACCTCACCATGAAAAGCTAGGCTGGTCAGACCTGCCTGCACCTCAGTTTCCCCACGTGTGAAGCGGGGATGGAGGAGATGATGTCTTAAGTCCCTCTCAGAGCTGATGTCCCTAGGAGTGGCAAGCAAGGATGGTGTGTGTGTGCGGGGGGTGGGGGTGGGCAGGTGTAGAAATACCCTGGCCAGGAATGAAGTGAAGATAAAGGTCAGGGGCTTTGGATCCAGAGGGTCCCAGTGGTAGGGCTACCCACTGGCTGCAGTCTCCCTGCAGGGCAGGGGACCCTGCCCTCCTCCTACCAGTCCCTTGCCTTTTTCATTCCCAGTACCCCCAGGGCTGGCAGTGGTTGGGAAACAGAGAAATAAGACTTGAATTCCCGGAGAGTTGCAATGGAAGGCGGAGGAGGGGCAGGCAGCACGCATGCTGGGCTGTGTTTGCAAACACTGCAGGACAACTCAAGTGTTTAGATGATGTGGGGGGTGGGGGTTTGGAAATTTTTAGCTTCTCAGAAAGCATCTCAACCAGTAAGCTGAAGGCATCTGATCTCTGGCAAGCGTTGCCCTGTGGCTGGCCTCCAGCTGGCATGGGGAAGGGGTGGGGGCAAAGGGGATGGTGCTCAGATGATCACTGGCAGGAGGAGAAAGTTTCTCTTGCACTGCTGAGGCCTGTGGTTTCTAATATTGACGCCAGCTCCCTTGTCTGCACCATGCCAGACCCAGGAGGGGTGGGGCAGGAGGGTCTCAGTGAGGCAGGGTGGGCTGGAGAAGCCCTGGGCCTTGGGGATATGCGGGCGCTGACCCGAGGGTGCAGACATACATCATAGTGAGAGCTGACAAGTCCTGAGGGCATCCTATGTGTCTTGCCCTCTTCTAAATGCTTTATGTGCTTCGTTGCATTTGATCCTCACAAAATAACCCTGTGCAGGCCTGTTGCAGAGCAGGGAGGACAAGGTGACCTGCTTGAGGTTGCACAGTTAGGTAGCAGCAGAGAGAACTGGAATGTGGACTCAGGCAGTCTGCCGCCAAGGCCTTTTCGGGAGCAGCAGGTCTAAACTCTGCCGCCTGCTCCCAGGCTGATTCTGAGTTGGAGTTGTCCTGCTTGGAGGCAAGGGGGCTGCTAGCTCAGGCTGGTTGTTCTCAGAGAATCATCTGGGACCTGTGTTGCCTGGAAACCTGGTAGAAATGCACGTTTGTTCTTGGGTCCCACTGTAGCTCTAACTGTGTGTGTGTGTGTATGTGTGTGTGTGTGTGTGTGTGTGTGTGTAGGGGGGTGGCTTGGGGGCCCAGGTGGTCAACAGCCCTCCAGGTGGTGCTATGCACATTCAAGTTTGAGACCCCTGGGCTCCTGCTCTGCTGAGGGTCGAGGCCTATTAGGAGGCTTTACCCAGAGGCGGAAGAGAGGCTCTTCCGGGTGCTGAACGGGCCTGGGCAGGTGCATCGGCTATAGCTTGTCCACCCCACTCCACGTCTGTACATTCTAGGAGGCTGGGTAGCAGACAGGTCAGGAGTGAGGGCGTTGGAGTTGGGAGATTTTGATTTGTGTCTCAGTTCTGCTGTGATCTGCTTTCTGAGAGTTCCCTTCCTTCCCACAGGAGGCCAGAGCAGCTCTGAGAGAAGGCAGCTGGGCTGTTCTGCCCGACCTCAGGTCTCCATGTGGGAATGTCAGAGCCCCTGGAGAAGAAGGGAAAGGCTGGGGGGTGGAGCAGGCCCTGGCAGGCTGACACCCTGGTTGAGGGATGGGTGGGGCTGGGTTGTTGGAGGCTGAGGGGAGCACCTGGTCCTGACTAGCAGGCAACTCTGAGAGCTCAGGCTTACCCTGAATGGGTTAGGGGGTTAGTGGGTTAGGATTAGGACTGAGCTGAGAGAGGGCAGAACCTGGCATCTTTACTCCTCCTTCAGAGCCATCCTCAGACTCCAGGTGGAGAGAGGGGATGTACCTTTCAGCGGGGAGGAGAGTGGAGGAGACGTGTGGGAGGGGTTGGACCCTGTCCCCAAGATCCCTATGCCTGGACCCCGTCGTCCCTCTACCGTCCCCAGCTGCCTTGGCCCTGAACTGCTCAGGAAGTTTCATCCCCTGGAGAGGAGTTTTGGCCTCAGCCGCCTGTCTTCCAGGCAGTAGGGATAGACGAGCACGTTTGGGCCATTTCCGGAAAGAGCACTGTTACCTCCGCCAACCCAGTCTCTTCTTCCATGCCCATCTGGGCCCACTCTGCCTCTCTGACGCCAAAACCTTTCAGAGGTCATTCTGTCCATTCCCCTGCATTTAGACATGAGCAGCTCATCCCTCAGGTCTCAGGGATGGGTTGGAGCAGGCGCTTCCTGTGTCAAGACACATGGTCTTAAACCTGGGTCACACTTATTCTCACTAAGGTTTGCTTCAGAACCTTTCCAGTTGTGCTCAGGCCTTTCCACCCAGTTCGAGGGCCCCATAACCACGTCACTGAGCTGGCAATGGAGCCCTAGATTCTGTTCAGGAGGTGGGCCTGGCAGAGGAAGTTTCTCTTCTTGGTACGGGGAGAAATCAGACCACCTTTAGCTGGAAGCCCTTCTGTTGGTCTGGGTGAAGAAAGGAGGGTGCCAGTGTAAGGGATGTTGACTTATGGCCCACTATGCATACATCATGTGCCCTGGCAGGAGGGAGCTTCCAAATGAATTGGTCAAAAGGTTGCTTTGAATCCATCTTGGATGAAGGTGGAATAAGAATCACAAATAAAACAATCAAGTCATATATTTCCGTGATGAGATTATTCATACACTAAGGACCAGACAGGGAGGTGATTGGAGTTCAGAGGTGGGAAAGAGATCCCCACTTGCTGAGGTGACCAGAGAGGGCTTCCTGGAGGAAGAGAGCCCTCTATGTAGGAAAGAGGGGAAGGCATTCAACAAGTAAAGACCTGGATATGGGAATAGGCAAGAAGAGTTTAAGGGCTGGGGCTGATGGAGGAGAGCCTTGGTGCTTGGAAATTGAGGTATGTGAGGCCCCATGGTGGGTGGTCTGAAAGCTCACTGGAGTAATGAGACTGGCTGGCTGCACATTTCAGGCTGCTGGGATTTCACGGGGAGCCCCAAGACGGGTTTCAAATCCTGCCATCCCTATTAGAGTTGATGATTTTGGCTCAGTCATTTAACTTTCTTATCTGTAGAGTGGGGCTAAAGGTAATAACGGTACTTACTTCCCTGGATTCTTGAGACTAAATGAGACCCTGCAGGTCATTGACCCCTCCAGTTTGAGGGTGCCAGCAACGGTATGAACCAGAGATCTGGCGCTGGGCACTGAGCACAGGTCTTCGGTGAAGCTTTGTAGAACTGGACGGTTCTAGCACTATTAGGATGGCTTTCCAAATGCCAAACCATTCCCCTTGTGCTTGGGGCCAGCCAGATTATGCCTGAGTCTTCAGTCCCTGTCTCAGGGGGCATTCTGCCCATCAGGGCCACCAGCCATGAGGAGAGAGCCCATCCCTGGGATGTCTGCCCTGACGCCTCATGCTGTTTGTCGTTCTGTCCACAGCCCGTCACCACTGAGAATGCACCAAAGAATGTAGTGGACACGGTGAGTGATGGCAGGTGGCAGTGGGCGGAGCCGGAGCAGCGCGGGTAGGAGTGAGAAGGCCGGAAGTGGAGAGTGGACAGATGTGGCTGGGGAAATGCTTCCAGAGTAGATTTGGGGAACTTAGGCGGAAGTGGTGGGGCGGCTGCTGACGCTGGGAGCAGGGCATCTGACCATCCCTGTGTGTTTGGAAATGGGCTGCTAGGGAACCGGGCAGGCAGAGAGGGAAAGGCGGGATGGGAGCTGAGAGGGAGCAGCCGGTGGTTAAATGTGGGCTTCCTTATGAAATATGCAGAATGTGAGAAAGCCAGGCAGAGCTTTCCAAACAGGGCTTTCGGATCTAGCTGAGACGGACAGTTTCCTCAAGGCTGTGTGGAAGGTGAAGGGAGGAAAGAAGGTCAGTTCTGCAGTGGGGAAACTGAGGTTAGCTTCTGAGAAAGATCTTGTGGCGATGGCCAGCATGAAATCATGGGCTTGGAGATGAAGGACTTCGCTTCAAATCTTGACTCCACCATGGTTCTAATTATGTGACTGTGGGCAAGGCATGGGGCTGTCTGTGCCTCAGTATTCTTATCTGCAAAATGGGAATAATAGTATCTCCCACAGGAGTGGTTGTGAGTTGTAAATGAGAGGGTTTGGCTAGCTCTGAGGGGCCTTGATATGGGCAAAGAAATGTGAAACAAACACCACAGTTCTTTCCCAGGCCCCCTGCCAGCCTCCTCATCTGCCACTCCTGAAAAACGCAGCAGGTGGAAGACTGGGGTGCATTTTGATTACTTTTCTTGCTTCCCCTCTCTGACTGCCTTTTCTCTGTCTGCAGGGAGAAGGTGCCTCCCGGGGTGGAAACACACGGAAAAGCCTTGAGGACAACGTGAGTGTGGCTGGGGAAAAGAAGGATGGGGTTGGGCCCCTGGTGTCCAGGGGGAATGGGGTGGGAGGAGGATAATGCCGTGTTTTGTGGACTTCCCTTATCTCTCTCTAGAAGGAGAGGCTGGGATTGTGGGAAGGCTTGTTTCCTTATGGACTAGGCCTCACCCTTGGCTGTGGCCTCTATCTAAGTGGGATCCAGAGCTCATTCCCCTATGGCTGCGCCAGACCTCGGTGCTAGGGCAGGCAGGAGGAGAGAGGGCATGCTACGGGAGCCTGGCGTGTGACGAGCAGCCATGGAAGCACGGGGAAATGCGCAAAACCACAGCAAAGGAGACTGAGGGCTGAGGCCAAGAAGGAGCCCTGACTCTTGGGGGGTCTTAGTCCTTGGGGAGGTGGTAGAGTCTGCTTCCCTGGAGACAGCAGTCTGTGAAGATGGCGAGCACCAATGCATGGCTTAGATGCTGCTGGTTTAGTAGGAGGAGGCTGGGAGATGCATCTGTCGGTCCCCTGGGCTCCTCCTGTCTCGCGTTTTGGGGAGAGGAGAAGGGGCAGATGGCTGAAATGGAAGGACCCCACAGAAGGGCACATGCCTTGATCCTCTTTTGGGGTTGGGCTTGTCTGCACACCTCAGGGGCAGACCCCCAGCACAGTGGGGCTTTCTCCTTTCTTCCCTGCCCCTCTCTGACAGTGCCCCTGTGCTGGCCCCTCCATCCTCACCCGCCCTGGGCGGCAGAGGAACAGGGAGTGGTTTTGGTGGTTGGCACAGGGGTAGACGTTGATGGCACGAGGCCCTATCATCTGACAGCTGCCTGACCCACGGCGGGGAGGGCCCTGGAGGGAGTGCGGGGGGAGCAGGAGGGGCAGCTCGTGTAGGCAGCCTGACTCCTGCGGTGAGCCCACTGCCACTGCCGCATTGCCCTGGGGCAGCCCTGCACGTCCAGCCCTACAAAGCAGCAGTGTCCCTAGGGCTGCCTGGGGCCCCTCCAGGAGGAGCGGGGAGCATGCCTCTCAAATTAGTGGGGAAGGCTCTGCTCAAGGTATGCGTGACTTCCTCTGGGCATGGGATACTCATACTGGGGAGAGGCCCTTGTCCAGGTTTGTGATGTTTCTGGGGCTGAGATGCAGGGGGAACCTAATTTTTTTTGTGTGTACCTACTACGAAGGATGTACTAGCTCGATGTACTCAAAATGCATCAACGTGCTCAATAAATTTGAGCCGTTCTTATTACTGTTATTTTGACTAAGGACCGGGAGCTGTGTTTTGAGAGCCTCATGACACCCCTGTATGGCAGAGGCTCTGAGTCCACGTTATAGGTGAGGAAACAGGCTTGGCATTGCTGAATGACTTCCTGAACGCCTCTCCATCCCTTCCTGGGACTGCTGCTATAACCTTCTGCAAGGGGACAAGGTGATGGTGTGTGAACCAGGCCTTCTAGCCAATGGTCTGGGCATACTCAGGAGCCAAATCCTGGAGTGGCTGTCCCCACATCCCCAGCCTGGGCCATCAGATGGATCCCGTCAACTACAGCTACAGGAAGAGAGAGTGAAGTCGGACATCAAGAAGTTTTTTTTTTTTTTTTTTTCAGACAGAGTTTCGCTCTTGTTACCCAGGCTGGAGTGCAATGGCACGATCTCGGCTCACCGCAACCTCCGCCTCCTGGGTTCAGGCGATTCTCCTGTCTCAGCCTCCTGAGTAGCTGGGATTACAGGCGCGTGCCACCATACCCAGCTAATATTTTGTATTTTTATTAGAGACGGGGTTTCACCATGTTGACCAGGATGGTCTCGATCTCTTGACCTCGTGATCCACCCACCTTGGCCTCCCAAAGTGCTGGGATTACAGGCTTGAGCCACCGCGCCCGGCCTAAGAAGTTTTGATTGCAAGAGTGTGCACGACCCTGGTCTGCGCACCTAGGGAAGAAAGAGGTGGCTGTTTAGTTGTGACTAAGGCTCTTTTGCTTTTTTTAGAAGAAAGTGTTGGTGATCTGGGATGAATGTGTCTGTGTGTGCCTGTGTGTCGGGGTGGGTAAGGGTGCAGTCTTATCTGGATATGGGAGGAGGGACAAGATGAGCTTTGGAAAGGTAAGCAAACGAGCAGCTTCCAGAACAGCCTGTGGACTGCAAAAGAGGAGATAAAGCCTGATTTTTCAGGCTCTTGTCACCTGTCTCAGGTTGGGTTGACCCCAGGGTCATTGAAGCAGTCCCCTGCCCAGCGGGGGGACTCTCCTGCTGTCCACTCCGGGGGAGGAGGACCTGGGCCTGCTGCTGCAATAATGTGCCTGTTTGTCGAGCTGCCTTGCTGTCTCTGGCCCATGGCCCAGGACTCGCAGGCAGGAATGGCTGTTTTCCTCCTGGCGAGTTGGTGTGTAGTGGAGTTTGTGGACAGTCGTACTTTGTGTCGCACTTTGTTTTGGAAAAATCCAGACTAGTGGGCAGGAAGGAGAGGGGAAGGGGTGTGGCTGAAGGGGGTGCTATGTGGGGGTTGGCCACAGCCCCCAGAGGAGATGTAGGAATGGGGCTGGGCCTCTGATGTCGTCGGTCACCAATCTCTGGCTGCCTGAAGAGGCCCCTGGTGTTCACTTACCGACCCTCCTCCCAATTGTGCCCCTCTGGGGACCTGGGTTCAGGAAACGGCTTTTCTTTTGGTCCTGAGCTGTTATGTTTGGTCTGTGAACCTCAAAGGAAGGCAGGGCTCTTCCCACAGAGGCATTGCTTCAAACCAACCCCACCCAAGGCTGGGGGTTTCTGCTTCTTGCCTAATGGCAGGGAAGAAGGCAGCAGAACACAGAACCTTCGGTCATAGACCTTGAGCCATCCAGTAGTGTCTGAGTGGTGATCAGCTCTTGCCTGCATTGGGGACCAAGGCAAAAAGAGTTGACTGAATCTGCAGCAGGAAGAATGAGGGTTAGAAACCAGGAGGAACTTCCTGACAGTGAGAAGAGTAAGACATTGTTTTTGGGAGGCTATGGAATCTCCTTTCATGGTGCTCTTTCAGCAAAGGAAGGGCTGTGTTTTGGAGGTGAGGATAGGGGAGAGTTCTGTTTGGTGTTTAGAGAGTTGGAGGAAAAGTTCTATAATAGATCTATGTCTTGAGAGGAGCTAGGAAGAAGTTCAAAGCCATGTGGGTAAAGCATTTTGTGACCCCCAGAGAGGAAAGAATAGGATAACAGGCAGGCAGAGAGCTTATTTTTCTTCTTAAAATAAAGTTTGTAAGGTCCTGTAGTCATTTCCCTAGGGGCTCTCTGTGAAGTAGGCAGAAGATGATGTGGGCACTATGCTGTGCCCGTTTTACAGATGGGTAAATGAACCTCTACTCCTCACACTGGGTCTGTTGATGAGTATCATTGTCCATAGAATATAAGCTCTCTGAGGTCAGGACTTTACTTCCTTCGTCCTCTGGTGTCTAGAACATGGCCAGGCACACAGCTGGTGGCACTCGGTGAATGTTTGCTGAATGAGAGAATGAGCATGAAGATTGGAGGCCCAGGGATGACCAGATGCCTTGACTTTCTCCCACCCTACTTGTAAAAAGCCTACGTGATGAGGCTTGCTTCCAAAGGCAGCCATCTCTAGCCTCGGGTGAGGTCACCTGTGTTTTTGGAGCAGTAGAGTGTGTTTGCTGACACGCCCCCCCGCCCCGGCCCGCCCCAGCCCATTTGTTGTTCTCTGAGTTCTGTCTGTCAGTGTGCACCAACACTCAGACGTGTCACCGTTCATGTCTGGTCTCTGCCAGCAATGGTCACGTGCCCCCAAACTTTGCAGAAAACAGGAAGCCCCATCAGTGAGAGGGCAACCCAGTGATTCATCAGGGGATGACAGTCCCAGCTGTTCGTCCCGCATCCTCCGCAGTGGGGTCACTGTCCAGGGCGGCTTCCTCCCCATGCCTCCCCTCCCCGACCCACCCGGTGAAGCAGAGCGGGCTTGGACTTTGCCTTATCACCTCTGGAGGCAGCCTGGCCAGACTCTGTTTGGGCCAAGTTTTTATTTATCTTCGCTGGCTTTTTTGGGGTGGGGAGGCTGAGGAATGTGGAGTGTTGTAATGTTTAGAAGAGGGCGGTGGGGAAACAGGAGCCAGGTCTCCTGCCCTGGTCGTCCTGCTTACCCCTGCACCTTTGCAGGCTCCCAGCCCCCTTGGTTCCCAGTTCCCTCTGCCAAGCCCTTCTCAATATGGTCCATTGTGTTTCTCTAGCTCCCTGGGTCTGGTCCTATGCTCTTGGCCACACCTCACGCCTTGGCTACTGTTGTGGCTTCCAGTTGTTCAAAGCAGCTGTGGTGGCTTCCTCCAAAAGTGACTACGGATCAGCAACAGATGAAACCAGAGGGGCTATTTACAGCAGGGTGGCCCGGGGCCTGGAGCAGGGCCTCGGGCCTGGGGAGAGTCAGGGACTCCTCATTAGTGACCAGTGGGATGGAGACGGATGAGGTGTTGGGTTTCTGTGTTCCTCTGGGAGGGTAGTTTTGGAACAGCCTGGTTTGGGTCTTGAAAACCAAACACAATCACTCCTTGACTCCCTCCACCCCAGCTCCACCCCTCTCTAATCCCCCCACCCCTCCCCAAGCCTGACTCATGCAAACTGGAGTCCTTAGGGCCAGAAGAGCTGCGAGACTAAGAAACTTCCCCATAGCCCCAACTTGGCTCTTCCCTTCTTCACTGCTGCGGGGCTGCTCAGTGCTCTGAGGCAGCTGGGACAGATGGGACAGAGTGGACTCTGGACAGAGGCTTCTCTCGGATGGCTGGATGGAGGACCCCCCTCTTAGCAGAGCTGCTCTAACTTGGGGCTCAGCTGTGAACTGGGCTTTCGAGTCCCACTATCCTACCTGTGAGGCCCTGCAGGGCCAGGAGAGGGCTGCAGACCCTCCTCTTCTTAGAGACCCTTAAGCCCCAGGTTGGAGTGTGAATCCTGCCTGGCCATCAACTTCCCAGGGACTTGAGGGTGAGTTATTCTGTGCCTCAGTCTCTTCCTTTCTTGTAAGACTGTGGTCCTGTCTTCTCCAAGAAGATGCTGCAGGAAAAGACCATTTTCTGAGAGGCATATGGGTGTTTGGAAGGTGTCGATGGGCCAGGAGGTCTGAGAATCTGGAAGCTGGGCATCCTGATTCTGTGTCCTATGAGGTGGCCGGAAGGATGGGTGGCTGCTGGGGGTAGAGGCGATGCCGGGTGCAGATTCTCTATAGAGGTGAATGTTTGGTTGTAACTACCCTTTTCATTTTTCTTGATACAAAAGTAACAACAAAAACAACAGGTGTAACCTGCGAATGCCAGGCTTGATGTGCGGTGCCTTATATGCATAACTCCTTTGGATCCTCCCTGCCGGCCTGAAGGTTATCCCAATTTACATGTGATGCTACAAGAGGCCCAGAGGGGTTAAGGAACTGATGTGCGGTGCCTTATATGCATAACTCCTTTGGATCCTCCCTGCCGGCCTGAAGGTTATCCCAATTTACATGTGATGCTACAAGAGGCCCAGAGGGGTTAAGGAACTGGCAAGGCTGCCCGGCAAGATGCTGGAACCCAAACTCTGTGGTCTGTGGGCCTCCCACCCTGGCTGTCACACCCACCATGCCATCCTGCTGCCCTGGAAGGTGTTGGGTCCATTTGCTTAAATTTATACCCCTCAACAGCTGTGAAAATGGGAGTGGGTGAGATGGCCACTGTCTGCCCACAGGCTCTGGGCAGTGGGCCCTCAGGAGCATGGCTCACTGCCTTAGACCTTGTCTTGGTTCCTGCATGACCAACCTGGCTGTTCTGGTCTCTGAACTCGACTGAGGGACTCGATGTTACTGCTTTCAAGCAGAGAAGTGTGGGGCGACGATGGCAGAACAGAGGGGCACCATCACTCTCATCCCTCCTGTTTCTTTCATGGTGGTGGTCGTATTCTCTTCTTGGGGTTTCTCCTGTGTTGGTGGGTGAGTCAAGGTGAAATGTGTTTCCATTGATTCAGTCACTGTCGAGTGTGCTATCAGTGAGGATGGCACCGGCCTGGTGGGGTGTACTCCTCAGCATTCGGGATTTCTTCCTTTTGTCCCTCTGGGGCTGGCACACAGGCAGGCACCTTCACGTGGAATCGGTGTTGATGGCTCTGGCTTCGGGCAGGCTGTGTTTTTGTAAGGGTTAAGGCGGCAGGGCCGGAATGTTGGCAGAGAAAGGAGAAGAGGATCGTGTTTGCTCCCGTGGACAGCTCTCTGGTGCGCCCCTCCCACCATCCTGCCCACCCTGCATAATGCTGCTTCTTTTCTCTCCTTCCCAGGGCTCCACCAGGGTCACCCCGAGCATCCAACCCCTTCTCCAACCCATCAGGTATGCCTGGCCCACGGGGGCAGGAGGTGGGGGTGCAAGCCGGGGCATTACTGTGGGTGCTCCTGTCAAGTCTTGCCTCTGGGTCCCCCAGACTGCAGCCATAAAGCCACGAGTGGGGAGCATGGGCAAATGTGAAAGGCGCAGGAGAGGATGCCTGCAGATGCCCTTGGCAACAGCTGTGTTTTGAGCTCTTAGCCAGCCCTTGAGCTGAGTCTTTATTTACCTGCATGAGCTCATCTAGTCCTTGCAACAACCCTGCAAGGTACGTATTTTATTCCCTTTGATAGATGCTGTGTTTCAGAAAGATGAGGTGACTTGTAAAGGTCACACAGCCACCAAGAGGCAGCACTTGGATTTGTGTTTAGGGCTAGTGGGCATTGAGGCCTGTGCGGGATCTCTTCCTCTCTGCAGACAGGGGCTTCTGACCGGGCAGAGTCGTTTATGACAGGAAAATTCCCTATCTAGCTGGGCTGGCAGGGGCCAGGGGAAGGGGAGGCACACTGGACTTTGTGTCTTGGCGACCCGGAGAGTTTGTTTTGCCCCCTCCCTCTCTGCCTCACCTTCACCCGCTGAGGCTCCTGAGACAATTGTAAATGCCAGCCCTGGGATAGATTGAAGCCTCTGGCAGTTTCTGGCCCAGCTGCTTGCTGTCCAGACTGGAAGTGGCTCCTTAGAGGATCCTCTTGTTCTTTTAGACCTGGGCAGGTGGGCGCAGAGTGTTATACTGAGCCTGTCCACTTGGTGACATTGTTCTGCCTTTGCGCCCTTCCCAGGATCCAGCCTGTGGACAGGAGTGGGTCAGCACCCAGGATGGTCCATGTCTGAGTCCTGGCTCTCACCAGCACGGCCCCTCTGGCTCCCCGTCTTGTGCTGAGGGAGAGGCTGAAATCATAGGAGCTTGGCTTGCGAGTTTTTCTGACATTCTAGTTTTCTCCTTGAAGCCAGGACAGAGAAGGGTTTTGGAGGATGGGGAGGAGGGATGATGCAGGTTAGCTGAGGCTCCCCGCCCTCACACCCACTTGCTTGCAGGTATGTGTGCATGTGGCTTCTTGTCCCAGACTGGTTACCGCCTTCTGGGACAAGGTGGTATCCTTGGATAGGCAGATGGCTTGGACTGTCCTTGGGTGGGCAGATGGCTTCAAATAAGAACTTCACCCCCACAGCTGCAATGAGACGCTTTCCACAGGGACAGGAAGTGGTCAGGACTCAGAGTCAAACTCTCCTTACCTCTGGCTGCTGGTCCCTGATCCCACTCAGGCCCCTGACATTCCACCAGAGAGGTCCTGCCATGCCTTGCCCTTGGCTGCCCCATCTCCACGCCCCACTTGGGCTGGGATTGAACCCTGTGGAGCTCTGGATTCTTCATGGCTCCTAGGTATCTGGGGACTTGTTCTCTCTAGTACCAGATAGTCCTCATCACTTTTTTTTTTTTTTTGAGTCAAAGTCTCACTCTGTTGCCCAGGCTGGAGTGCAGTGACACGATCTCAGCTCATTGCAACCTCTGCCTCCCAGGTTCAAGTGGTCCTCCTGCCTCAGCCCCCCTAGTTGCTGGAATTATAGGCACACGCCACCATGCCAGGCTAACTTTTGTAATTTTAGTAGAGACACGGTTTCACCATGTTGTCCAGGCTGGTCTTGAACTCCTGACCTCAGGTGATCCACCCACCTCAGCCTCCCAAAGTGCTGGGATTAGAGGCATGAGCCACTGTGCCCGGCCCCTCATCACTTTTAAATACCCCGGTGGTATTCTTCCTGCTGCCCCCCCACTCTCCATTTTATCCTGCTGTGATGAAAGGTTTGCAAAATGAAATGTGAGTGCTGCCTGCATTCGATAGAGGGGAAGCAAGTCATTAGGAGGTTGGTGATGGGGTAAGAAGCTGGAGGGATAGGAGAGGTGCTTCTAGAAGCTAGAGGTGGGCTTCCCCAGTGGGCATCCAGTTGGGAGAGATGTAAAGATGTGACCCCTTCCCTTCCTCACCCACTTCCCAGTGGAGAGGGGTAGCCAGCCTGGGGGCCTCCTTACCTCTCCGGGAAATGTGTGGTACTGGCAGCTGCCTGCCACCACAGCAGCAGGGGCTCAGTGCCCGCTTGTTTCCTGGGCCCTTAGAAATCAAGGAGGCCGCTGCTGCCAGGAATCAGCTCTGGCAGGCAGTGGGAGCTGCCAGAGGTGGGTAGAAGGCCAAAGAACAAAGGGCAGGAGTCAGCCTGCCTCTGGGAGGGCTGGAATGTGTGCTGTGGTCTGGCTTAACTGGAACCCAGGTGAACGTGTCACCTGAGCTGCCCCTTCCCCTGAGAGGCCTCCCACCCACTCCACAGCTCCGTGGATCAAGAGCGAGGGGCGGGCAGTGGAAGGCTCCTTTCCAGGGCTGGAGAGCGCCCAGTGCAGGCTCTCCTTCCTCTTGCAGAGTGGTCTGGGCTCTTCTGGAGACTTCTGTCTGGCCAGGCAGCCACAGTGTGTTGGGAGCCAGAGCTCCTGGGTTCCTTGGCCAATCTGACCCTGACTGAGCTCTGGAGTTACAGGTTGAAGGCAGTGCCCAAAGGACTGATGGGAACCAAGAATTGGTGTCATCACAGTTTAGTTCTGAAATGACCTGAGGTCTTTGCCAGCCCTACCCAGCTTGTTCTCACTGGGAAGCCCAAGCAGGCCACACTGCCCTTGCCAGAGGAAGCTCTAGTCTTGGCCTTGGGTCAAAGAGCAGCTAAGCACCCTGGGCTGCATATGGGGGTCACATAGGGCGTGTATGGGGTGCAGCTATCTGGGGCCTTCCCTGTGGGCTGGATTTTGATCTGGACCTTCCGCTGCCTGCTGTCTCCCTAGAAACATGAGTGTGAGCCGGACCATGGAGGACAGCTGTGAGCTGGACCTGGTGTACGTCACAGAGAGGATTATCGCTGTCTCCTTCCCCAGCACAGCCAACGAGGAGAACTTCCGGAGCAACCTCCGTGAGGTGGCCCAGATGCTCAAGTCCAAACATGGAGGCAACTACCTGGTGAGGATGGGGCCTCGCGCCCCTTGTCCAGTGCCCTCTGTGCTTCCCTCTACTCGCCACCTCTTCATGGCTGGTATCCCTGCCACCAGCCCCTGCGCCAGCACATCCTCTTCCCTTTGTTTAGCTGCCCTTTCCCCCAGGCAGCTCTCGTGCCTGAGTCTTCAGTTACTCTCCAGCCCAGCCCTACGCTCAGGAGTGTGCTGCAGCTGGAATGCAGCATCTGGAACTCTGTGTGTGCATGTGTGTGCTGGCCAGCAGAAGAGAGTAACAGGAAGAGTTCAGGTTATTGAGCGCTTGCTGCTAGCCAGGCCCTGTTCCAACTGCTTTCCACGCACTTAACCTTTGCAGCAGCCCTAGCAAGCAGGTACTTGCTGGAGCACAGAGAGGTGGGGCTATTTGTCTAAGGTTGCAGGGTCCGAAAGTGGCAGAGCTGGCACAGAGTCAGTGCCTCTGAGAAGTCTGAGGGCCGAGTCTTGGCAACATGCATCTTAAAGGACCCTGGGTTGCTGGTACCTGGCTTGGCCTGGCCCAGAGGAGTTACCTGACACATAGGAGAGAGGTGCTGGCGGTGGTCTCCACTAACGCAGAAAGGTGGATCCACCCTTGGCCCCAGAGGAGGGCTGAGGTCCATTCTACAGGGAGGTGCCTAGGGACTGGACCCATGGATCTGATCTGTACAACTTCAGGTGGCTGCCCCCAGGGTGTTTGAGGTGGAAAGTAGGAGGCTGCCTTCATTTCCCAGGGGCCAGCATAACAAATGAGGCAGCCCTTTCTATCCACATTTCACCTCTGTGGATTCAACCTACCATGGTTTGAAACTATTCAGAAGAAACTCCAACAGTAAATAACAATAAAAAAACAATACAGCAGAACAACCAGTTGCATAGCATTTATATTGTGTTAGGTATTACAAGTAACCTAGAGATGGTTTAAAGTCTACAGAAGGATATGCATAAGTTACATGCAAATAGTTCACTATTTTATATAAGAGGCCTGAGCATCCATGGATTTGGGTATCCATTATCCATGGTAAGGTGGAGGGGTCCTGGACCCAAATCCCCATAGACACCAAGGGATGACTGTACCTCAAATTCGGTGTCTCAAAATAACAGAAATTTATTCTCTCACAGTTCTGCAGGCTGGAAATCTGAAATCAAGGTGTTGGTGGGGCCATGTTCCCTCCGAATCCCATGGGGGAGAATCCCTTCTTGCCTATTTCTAGCTTTTGGTGGCATTCCTTGGCTTGTAGACCACCACTCCAGTCTCTACCTCCATCTCCACGTGGCCTTCTTCATTGTCTCCTTCTGTGTCTTCTCTTCCTACAAGGACATCAGTGATTGGATTTAGGGTCCACTCTAGATCCAGGCTGATCTCATATTGAGATTCTTAACTACTTATGTTGGCAAAAGCACTATTTCCAAATAAGGTTGCATTCAAGTTCTGGGCGGACATGGCTGACATTTTGAGGATACTATTCAACCACTATAGAGATCCATCTGTTAGCTGCATTGGGGCATTGTTAAGAGTCTGGCTTTAAACATCAGAAAGTCCCGGGTTCAAATTCTGGCTCTGCTCTTACTAACTATGTGATCTTGGCTGTTTAGCCTCACTCCTTCTGCATCTGTAAAGTGGGTCTAAGATCTACCTCTTTTGGTTGTTGAGAGAATTAAGCCAGCTGTTAGATGTAAAGTTCTTAACACAGGCTGGCAGGTCGTGGACATTCATTGAATGATGGCCGTCATAACATAATAAAGTGTATTCCTTTACAGAGCGCAAGAGTGGGTGAAAATCCAAGATCCTTTCTAATTTCAGGAGTCCAGGGTTCTGTGGGACTTGGTGCCCTGCTACACCTCTCTTTATCCTGCCTATTCCAGACTGGGCTGCCCCCTTTTCTCCCCAGGAGACAACACAGTGGCCTTTGAGTTTCCCAGGCAGTGGGGTGGAGGTGGGAAGTTCTGCATGCCCCCTTTGGAGGTAGAGGCAGGAATTCCAGAGACTGGGGAATTCCATGGGGTGTGGTCAGACATTGCAGGGCATGTGCTGGGAGAGGCTTGTCAAGGGACTGATTGGGCCCACCAGGATGGTTTGCCCCTCTGATGGAGGATGTCTGGTGACAGAGAGGTTGCAGCCTCATGGGATGAGGTTCTAAAGTCAACGTGTGATGTGGAAACCAGAGATTGCTGGCTCATGATCATCTCATACCACTGGATCCTCGTTCAGTGTGGCGAGAGGCATGTGGGACCAGAGACCAGTTCTGTCCCTTCTCGTCTTCCGTTCGGGACATCCGCTCACAAGTGGGGTGGCTGAGTGTCCTCTTCTCTCTCTCTCCCTCTTCGTCCCAAAGACCTACAGTTGAGTTCCTCTTGGTGGCAGTGCGTCTGCCAGGACTTATCTGCATGTTCACATATGTATGGAATTCCTGTCGGGGAGAGAGTGAGAGCAGGCACAGGAGGTCCAGGGAGCTCATGGTTGGTTTGTGGCCAGGACCCTCGCTGTGGGACTTCAGCACTCTGCTGGGTGCTGTCATGGGCTCTTTAGAGGAAGCTGGCGATGATGCCACAGTCCTTCCTGGGACCAGCAGGCTTGCTTGCCATGGTTCTCTCCCCTTGCCACCCTCCTCACCCTCACCTCCTCATGCTGTCTTCCTTTCTCTCCTTCTAGCTGTTAAACCTCTCTGAGCGAAGACCTGACATCACGAAGCTTCATGCCAAGGTGAGCCAGGGGCTGTTTTGGGTGGGGGTGGAGAAGGAGGACAGATGGACTCCCTCCCTGGGGTTCCCACATAAGAATCTTGGGGAAAATGCTGTGACAGTTTGAAAAGCCTATTCAGAGTGCCATCTTATATCTGGAAAATGGAAAATGATCTATTTATCGTTTCCATAATGCAAATTACAGAACACGAAGCTTGGGGCAGTGACTTTCCACCCAGGTCTGCCCACCGGGGAGTACACAGAATCTCATGGGTGAGGCTGGAGTTGTGAGATGTTTAGTTTTTGGCTTTAAAACAGTGGAGTGTCACTGCTTTTGACATTTCTGCTGCTGCTTTTTTTGTTTGTTTGTTTGTTTGAGCTGGAGTCTCCCTCTGTCACCCAGGCTGGAGGGCAGTGGCATAATCTCAGCTCACTGCAACCTCTCCCTCCCGAGTTCAAGTGATTCTCCTGCCTCAGCCTTCTGAGTAACTGGGACTACAGGTGTGCACCACCACGCCCAGCTAACTTTTGTATTTTTGGTAGAGATGGGGTTTCGCCATGTTGGCCAGATAGGTCTCAAACTCCTGGCCTCAGGTGATCCATCCATTTTGGCTTCCCAAAGTGCCGGGATTACAGGCCTGAACCACTGCGCCTGGCCCTGCTGCCGTTTTTCACTCTGTTTGCTTGGGGGCTGCGTGTGGGCTTTGCCATGGGCGTCTGCTTCTGGCTCTGAGCCTGGTGCCTGCTGCTGTGTGGCCCTGGGTGGGTGACAGGCTTCTCTGGGCCTCAGTGAGCCCTCTGAAAGTAGCCTGGCTGGATGAGGTGTGCTCCACGGGCCCTTGCAGAGTTCTCTTTTACTTTAGACTTGGTGAGTCTGGAAAGGTTTCGAGAGGCCTGATGCCCGCTATCCAGGTCTGCCCTTTGCACTCTTAAGGCTGCCCTTGGCTGGCCTGAGAAGCAGATGGTTTGTGTGTCCAGGGCCTAGAAAAGAGGCATGAACATCAGATGGCCCTTTGCTTTTTCCTCCTACAGCCTGAGCGAGGCCTCAGGGTTGTCCATGGGAGGAGAGCTTGAGGACAGTACTTGGGGCCTCAGTACATTGCAGGTCAGTCCTATGGCAGGGACCTGGAGGTCATCAGCTCCAAGCCTTTCTTTTTAACACATATGGGGAAATTGAGGCTGGAAGAGAACACGAAGCCTAAGGCCCCGCAGTGAGTCAGTGCTGGGGCCAAGACCTGGGCCTAGGGTCCCTAACACTGGGTCATGCGTGGCCTTTGCCCATCACACCCCTGCCTCCTCGCTGGCCAGTGAACAGGGAGGAACCAAGTCCTGGCAGGAACCAGCAGCTAAAGGCCGCCGCCCAGGACTGGCACGTGGTGTGTGCGGCTCCCGCTGGCTTGGTTGGCTCTACAGGGCTTTTGCCCCTTCTCACTCATGGCTTGGGCTGCAGGTACTGGAATTTGGCTGGCCCGACCTCCACACCCCAGCCCTGGAGAAGATCTGCAGCATCTGTAAGGCCATGGACACATGGCTCAGTGCAGACCCCCATAATGTCATTGTTCTTCACAACAAGGTCAGAGCTGTGGCATGTGTGCGTGTGTGTGTGTGTGTGTGTGCATGCATGCATATGTGTATGTCTGAATGTGTCCTTGGATGACTGTGTACCCACCTGTATCTTTGGATTTTGTGAGCAGGCAATGTGGGGGACATCAGCTTATGTCCACGGCAGTGGATGATGGATGATCAGCTGTGTTTCTTTTGAGACTCAGCCCCCCACCTGCTTCCCTCCCCTGGGGCCCCTTCCTCCTTATGGTTTTCCTTAATTCCACATCCCTCTCTCCAGCCCCGACTCCTTTCCACAAAGTCTTCTAGATAAGCTCTGGTGCAGCAGCACTGGCTTTGGAAATAAATGCTTTTGTGTTTTGGGGCTCTTTCAGGGAAACCGAGGCAGGATAGGAGTTGTCATAGCGGCTTACATGCACTACAGCAACATTTCTGCCAGGTAAGAGGGGCCTGGAACCTCCCATCCCCTGAACATCGACAGTGTGACTCTCCTCCTCTCATCCACCCACAGCCTCTCTGTTCACTGGAGTGAGGAGATAAGCACAGAAGGCATGAGGACAGGTTCAGGGGCCCCCAGCTTGGAGGGAGGACCAGTGGACAGAGGATGGGAGGGAGGAGAGTCCACTTCTCTATCTGGGGCTCTGGTGGGCAGCCTTGGGAGGCAGGCCCTGTCATGAGCACCCTGTGCAGCCAGCTCCTCAGAGCCACTTTTCCTTGCCAAACTGTCTTCTTTTTCCCTGGGCCAGCGAGAAGGGAGTCAGAAAGAAATGTCGAATCAGAGCTGAGCTGGTAGAACAATGAGAAGTTATGTCATCCATTCGTCTGCCTCTGGACAGCAGGCCCCTCTTCCTACCTAGGTGTTTGGAACAAGAATAAAGATCATCCAGTCACTGACTCCCTTTGTGAGCCTGCTTTGCAGGGAGGCAGAGGGATTCACCTCTTTGTTTTGTTATTCAACAAGGAATATGGCTGGACGTGGTGGCTCATGCCTATAATCCTAGCACTTTGAGAGGTCGAGGCAGGCAGATCACTTGAGGTCAGGAGTTCAAGACCAGCCTGGCAAACATGTGAAACTCCGTCTCTACTAAAGGGCCTGGTAGGGCGGATGCCTATAATCCCAGCTACTAGGGAGTCTGAGGCAGGAGAATCCCTTGAACCTGGCAGGTAGAGGTTGCAGTGTGCTATCGTGCCACTGTACTCTAGCCTGGGTGACAGAGGGAAACTGTCTCAGAAAAAGGAAAGAAAGAAAGGAAGGAAGGAGGGAGGGAGGAAGGGAAGGAAGGAGGGAAGGAAGGACCAATAACTTTTGGACAGCCACTGTGCCAGGCTCTGTTCTAGGTGCTGGGAATGCAGCAGAGGGCAAAGCCAGACCACTGCCTTCATGGGCATTAAACACATAAACAAATGCCTTAGTAACAGCAGGTGATAATTATCATGAAAGAATAAAGGGATTCGAGAAGGGCAGTGTCAAAGCAGGCACATGGTCAGAGAAGGCCTCTTGTCAAGGCCACACTGGAGCAGAGACCTGAGTGACCAGGATGGGAAGGGCTGAGTCATGTCAAGCCTGCGGGGTGAGCCCTGCACACTGAGAGAAGAGGAAGGATGGGAATGCAAGGAGCTGGGGTGTTTGAAGATGAGCAAGTGGGGGAAGAGGAAGAGGAAAGGAAGCTGGGAGATGGCAGAGCCATGGGGCCTCGTGGCCTCACTGAGGACTTTGGAGTTTGCTCTAACGGTGATGGGAAGTCACTGGAGCCTTGTGAGCTTTTCATTTCCAAGCAATTTCTCTGGGTGCTCTGTGAGGATGGGTAGAATATTCTGTGGAGGGCCTGCTGTAGTTTTAGGACTTTGAGCAACCCAAGCCAGTCTCATCTTTGCTTAATGATGTGCAAAGATGAGGCTGCACCCCTACTGCACTCCTGTATCCCTACTGTGCACCACGTGTGCCAAGCTCTTTATGGATGTTCCCTCGCTTCATCTCCATAGTTACTTTTGAGGAAGGGGGCAATTCTCACCCTCATTTGATGGGTGAGGAGAATGAAGTTCAGAGAGATTCAGGAAGTTGTACCAGGACACGGGGCTCATAAGTGGTAGTCCTGAGATGGGCTCCCAGGCTGCTGAGCTTTAAAGCCCTGGGCTGAGTGCTGCCCCACACGGGATGGACAGATGCTGAAGCACTCTTTTCCTGAAAGCTTCTCAGCACAGGACAGTAAGGGGAAGAGGCTTGTCTGCCCTCTAGGACAAGGGCTGGCTGGAGGGCTCTGCAGGTCTGAAGGAGCAGGGGTGGAGAAAACAAGGGGCTGTTGGACACAGGAGTTGCCTCTTTTGACCACCTGTCTCTCCCTGCAGCGCGAACCAGGCTCTGGACCGGTTTGCGATGAAACGGTTCTATGAGGATAAGATCGTGCCCATTGGTCAGCCATCCCAAAGAAGGTGGGTCTCTGGGGCTTTCATGTATGTGTGCACTCACATATATGGGGACTAGACTTGTGTACCCACAGGGATGGGATAGCTGTGCCTAGGTGGGGATGTGCCAGGCACATGTTTTCAGATGCCAGCCTGCAGTGGTGTGAGCCCGGGAGCCAGCCTGTGGTGTGTGCCCCCAGGTTGGCGTGGCAGTTGGCTCTGAGGCCTCTGCTAGGGAGCAGTGCAGTGCAGCAGTCATGGGGAAGCATCGGTCTGGGGATAAGAAGGTGCTGGTATAGGAAGGCGTGTGCTGTTCTGGGCCCTAGAGGCAGGATTGCTTCAGTGCTTGGATGAGTCTACAGGAGACTGCGTCACTGTGGGAGGTCAGAGACTCACGATAAGGGTCACCTTCTGTTGGGAGAGTTTAGATAGTTTTACTGAGAGCTTTCAGCCACATGATCTCATTGGAGACTCACAATAGCCCAGGCGGAAAGCAGGGCAGGGATAGATTTATTCATTCAGCAAAATTTAAATCATCTACTATGGCTCCAAGCACTGAGATATCTAGGCGAACAGGACAGAGTTCTTTCCCTTGGCGAGCTGACATCTAATGAGAGAGATGGACCTGATACAAATAACCATACAAACAAGACAATGTCAGATAGTGACGAGGCTAGAAAACAAAGAGGACAGGACACTGCAGACATGAAAACTGAAAGGAGGGGAATGGGGGCTCTTTTAAGGGGGATGGTCAGGGAATACCTCTTAGAGGAGGTGAATTTGAGCCTAAACTGGAATCATGGTGAGCTATCATGTGACGATCTAGGCATCCCGTTTAGCAGATGAGAAGCTGGGCCAAGGCAGGGGGCATGGCCATGGCGAGTAGTGGCAGAACTGGAAAGTACGTGATGGCCTGGCAATGCCTGGGCTAGGGCAGTGCCCCCGATTGTGTGACCCCCTGTCCTGAGGGATCTTGCTCTGTGTGTGACATGTTCCTCAATGATATCCACGAGAAGGCACAGGCAGCATCAGGGGCAGGTGGTCTTAAGGGGAGGCTGCAGCCAGGGTGGTAGGAAACCCAAGCCCAAGCTGGAGAGCTGGACGGTAGCTCCGTTTGCTGCTGGGAGTCATGGGCCTGCCACTTGCTGTAATGTCAGCACTGTTCTGCGCACTGGGGACACGGTGCTGAATCTGCCAGGCAAAGGTTTATGGAGCTCAGCTTCTAGCGGATGACACGCACACAAGGAAGCAATCCAGATAGTCATGAGAGCTGCGAAGAAGAAAGCAAACCACGAGGGCTACAGAGTGGCAGGGGTGGCAAGAGGGCTGATTAAAAGGGAAGCGGCTTCTGAGAAGGTGACGTGTAACGTGAGATCTGGGTGGGGAGAAGAAAACCTTCAAGGGAAGGCCTGGGGTGAAGGATACAGAGGGATAGCACCGAGTCCAAGGGCCTGGAGGCCAAAGCATCCTGTTTGCCTTTCTAGCCCTTGAACACACTGACTGGGCCACCAAGGGCCTAGAGCTGCAGATCCTGGAGCTCTTCAGCCTCACCGTGCTGAGGGTCCCAGCACATACCCCACTACCCCACCTTGCTTGGCTGGCAGGAACTGTGCTGTCCCGGCTGGGGGCTGTCCCCACCCTTATAATGGGAAGTCCAATAAGTGAGTGAGTCTTCAGGCAATGCAGCATCTTACAGTTAGCACAAAACAGTTGCTAGGCAGCCTCAGAGTCAGCAATCAGAAATGGGATGTCTTTATGTGCAGACAATTCTGGCTAGGCCCCTGACAGCAGCCGTGGATCAATGAGAGTCTTCCCAGGGAAGAAAGAACAATTGATCAAGCAGTGCCTTCTCAGTCTCTGGCTTGCTATGTGTGTCTGCTGACCGTGATCATGGTGTGGCCTTTGACCTTGAAGGATCACATTACTAAGAGAGAAGCATGCTGTTCCAATGGTACAGTGTGGCTTGGAGAGAATGGGCAGAGAGTCACATCTCTGAGGCTGAGCAGTGAAGGCCTGGAGGCCGGGGATCAGCATCACCTCTCAGGAATAGGATTATCTGGGGATTCCCTGGTGTATTTGTCCATTTTTCACTCTGCTGATAAAGACATACCCGAGACTGGGCAATTTACAAAAGAAAGAGGTTTAATGCACTCACAGTTCCACGTGGCTGAGGCGGTCTCATAATCATGGCAGAAGGTGAAAGGCACGTCTCACATGGGGGCAGACAAGAGAAGAGGGAGAGCCAAGTGAAAGGGGTTTCCCCTTATAAAACCATCAGATCTTGTGAGACTTATTTACTACCACGAGAACAGTATGGGGGAAACTGCCTCCATGATTCAGTTATCTCCCGCTGGGTCCCTCCCACAACATGAGGAAATTACGGGAGCCACAAGTCAAGATGAGATTTGGGTGGGGATGCAGCCAAACCATATCACCTGATGTTCGATATGTGCTTGCATAGCATGCAGTTGGGGTTGTGTCTCTGTGGGTGTGAACATTACCAGTGTCTGCCTGTCTCCTATCTGCCGCTGCCTCTGCTTGTGGGTAGGTCACCTCTCTGAGCCCAGATGTGAAAATGCGACTGTGGATTTACTATGCATTTATTGCCATTTTCCTGCCTTCTTGTCAGTGTCACTTGCAGGGAATGGAGCAGATGGAGGAGAGGAGGGCAGGGAAAGAGAGAGGGAAGGGCTTTGCCTGTAGCTCTCTCATTCATTGTTATCCGCGCCCGGACTCATTGTCCCCAGAACACAGACACATCCTGTTGGCGTGATCCAGAGATCTGATAGGAACCGCTATTCCAGGTTTCCGGCTTGAGTAATGGGGCAGGGGGCTGGGCAGGGGCCTGAATAGGAACGGGTGCTGCCCATCAGATTATCTTGCTTGAGTAGTCTGAAGAGGCCCCACCCGAGCCCAAGGACAGAGGCCCACAGGCCTGGAGGGGTGCCAAGGAGCCTAGAGACAGGAGGGGGTCTTCTCATGGTCATGTGGGTTCCAGTTCCACCCTCCTCAAAGAGCTGCTATTGGCTTCTGCAGAGCGTCAAAATACATTCTGATTGGTCTAGCTGCCTCAGCTTGGCATTCCCTGGCCAATCAGAAAAGGGGAAGTGCCGACCAATCGACACAGAAGGACTGATCTCTAGTTTATTGGGCAGATACATTGGAGCCCAGATTTCTTTCCTGCTCTCGCCATCCACTCCCAGCTTTGTGTGTTCTTGCTGTGTGTCTCTGGAGTGCAGTGGCCCCTTCTGAACCTTATTTATCCTCTATCTAGGAGAAGGTGTGAGCTAGTCCTTCCATTCTTTCAGCAGATCTTTGTTAAAGAATTGGGGGATGTTGACCCTCGAGATAGGAATACTTATTAGAAGCTAGTTACCTCAAATACCAAATAAACTCAAGGATACAGAGGGACTTCATGCACTTTAGTGTGATACAGAGAAAGTGAAAAACTACATTTATTAAAGTCTTGCTCACTATTTGCTAGACTATCACTTGTGGCTGCTGGATCTGTGGGCAGAACTGGGGCTGTGAGTATAAGCTCAAGCTTGGTTTGAGCTTTGTGTGTTTTCTCATTAGCTGCTTGGTGGTTGGGTCTGCCTTGTGCAGCTAAATGATGCTCGTCAGGGATGTGGGTGGAAATTTTGGTCCAGCAGGAGATTCTTGGTCTGGGAGTGAAGCAGGAAAGAGATGTTCATGTTGACCACCAGAGGGCGGTAGCAAACTCCAAGTGGAATGCTTGGCTTGACCCAGCTGTAGGTCTGGCATCCCTGCTCTCTTCCTACCTGGGTCTCCCAGCAGCAGGCAGGTCTAGGAGGGAGGCCTGGTTGGGGAGGGGGTCATGTTGGTTGGGAAGAGGATACAGTCGGTGAGCAGCCTAGGGCAATGGTCTTGGAGAAGAGAGAACAGGATGACTGCGTCAGCACAGACCTCTCTCCCTGAAGCTGCTTCTCCCACTGCCACAGGTACGTGAATTACTTCAGCGGCCTGCTCTCGGGCTCCATCAAAATGAACAACAAGCCCTTGTTTCTACACCACGTGATCATGCACGGCATCCCCAACTTTGAGTCTAAAGGAGGTACCTGCCTTCAGCCCTCTGTCCTCCACTCCTGCCAACTCCTCCCTTTCATCTTCCATCTTCTCATCTAAGAGGCAACTGTGGATAGTAACAAACAGCACGAGAGCTGGAGTCGTAAGCCTTCCACTGGACTCTCAAGTGCCTTGCTTCCTGAACTTTTCTAAGCCCCAATCTGTTCATTTGAAAAATGGGTTTGATATTTGCAGTGCCTGCTGGCCAATGATGTCAGATGGGCAATGTTTTTATAGTTTAAATTGCTTTACAAGTGAAAAGATGATATTTCTTCCCCTTTCTGCTTCCTCTTTTTCTCTTTCCTCTTGTCCTCCTTCCCCTTCTACCTGTCCTTCCCCCACCCATCCATCCATCCATCCACCTACCCACCCATCCATCTACCCATCCAACCATTCATCCTTCCTTTCTCTCTTTCTCCCTTCACTCTCACCTCTGCCCCTCCTGCCTGTCAGTTTCTGTTGTCTTAGCTAACACCCACCCTACTCTTATAGGATGTCGGCCGTTTCTCCGCATCTACCAGGCCATGCAACCTGTATACACGTCTGGCATCTAGTAAGTATTATCTGAGAATAAGAGGCCAGGGATGCTCAAGGCCCAGGGCTAAGGACCAGGGCAGGAGGGTGGGGAGAGGAGAGAGTTTTCTCAAGAGGCATGAAAGGACAGTAGTGAGGTTTCCCACTAACCCTGTAGCATAAGGGCAGCAGGGAGAAAACGCCCCTCCCTCATCTCCCCTCCAGCAGCCCTCTTTTTCTGCCTGTCTCTCTCCCTTAGCAACATTCCAGGAGACAGCCAGACCAGCGTCTGCATTACCATTGAGCCAGGATTGCTCTTGAAGGGAGACATCTTGGTGAGTGCTGTCCGTCTGTCTAAAGCCCTGTCCTTGTTTATTTTTTCTCCCTTCTTTTCTCTTCTTACTCCCTTCCTGCCTCAAGACAGCTACTCCTCCTGGGCTGCCAGGCCTGGAGCCATAGGCTCTCGGGGCTCTTGCAAGACCTTCCAGTCTCCCAGTTCGTGTCTCTTACCCTGGGCTCAGCTATTGTCCTGGAGCATCTCCAGGGGAATAGCACTCAGTATGAGCTGTTACCTCCTGGCTTCTGACTGGTGACAATGACTCTCTGAATTCTAACTTCAGTCCTTCCTAAATCCGTCTTACTTTTTTGCACTGACTGTATGCAGTAACTTCTTGGGAGGACATTTTTGTCCTCAAAGGCCAAGACTGGCCTCCAGTTCCCTGCTGTTCTAGACGTTTCCCCACAGAACTCTGAGATCCTCTTTGGTATTGATGAGCTCTCCCTCAATGGGTTTGGGGTGAGCCTCAGGGGCTCAGTCAGTGGAGCTGATAAGGAGGCTCCCTGGGACCTGACCTCCCAGCCTCAGGCCCCTGACTGGCTCTGCCCATGTCCCTACCCAGCTGAAGTGCTACCACAAGAAGTTCCGAAGCCCAGCTCGAGACGTCATCTTCCGCGTGCAGTTCCACACCTGTGTCGTCCACGACCTGGGGGTTGTCTTTGGGAAGGAGGACCTCGATGATGCTTTCAAAGGTGGGCTCCTTGAGTGGGGCTGGGGGTGGGCACCCCTGTGGTAGGGAGAGGAGCTCAGTTTGAGAGGATATGGTGGGTATGGGGACCGTCTTTTCTGAGCCACTTGGTCTGCCTAGTCTCAGGTTGATGGTGGGAGGGAGTTGAGAGAGACTTGGGAGAGAGTTGAGGTTGGGGTGGCCTCGGAATTCCACAGTAGAAGGGGAGGTAATTCCTCCCAGTCCTTGGGCTGTTTTATATCTTCTAGCCTTCTATGACTTTCCCTGTCTCTCCTTCATCTCGTCCTCCCAGTTTGTCACATGTCCTATTGACAATGATATTTTTTCAACATTCATTGGGCATCTGCTTTGTGCTAGGATCTGTGTACCAAGTGTCAGGGATTCAAAGTAAAACATGACATGGTCTCTGCCTTGGCTGAGCTCAAATATCTTGATTTGGGAGGCAGACTAGCAGGGGATAATTACCCTGCAGGACAGAAGAGCAATAAGGAAGGGCTGTGGCAGTAGCCAGGGGGAACCATTTTCTGAGAAAAGAAGAGGAGGGTGGGAAAGGTTTGGTGTTTGCTTTATACTTCTTTCTTTTATTAATTGGAAGTTATATCTGTATTACCTTCATGCCTGGGACATATAAATGCACATTTATTTACCTACCTGTCTGTCCATCTACCAGTCTATCCTTCCATCCATCCATCCATCCATCCATCCATCCATCCATCCAACCATTCATCCACTGACCTACCCACCCACCCACCCATCCATTTACCCATCCACCCATCCATCTACCCATCCACCTATTCATCCATTCGTTAATCCATCCTTTCATTCATCTATCCATCTAGCCACATATTCATTCATCTATCCACCCATCCATCTATCTATCCATCCACCCACTCACCCACCCATCTACTCATTCATCCATTCATTAATACATCCCTTCATTCATCTATAAATCTATCTATTCATCCATCCACCCACCCATCCACCCACCTATCAAGCATCACTTGTGTGTTGGGCATGTGCTAGATCCATCTATCTATCCATCCATTCATCCATCCATCCATCCATTCACCCACCCACCAAGAATCACTTGTGTTGGGCATGTGCTAGGCGCTATAGATATGAACAGAAAGAAGTCAGGCCTACCTTCAGGGAGTTCACAGTTTCCTCATCGAGAGACATGCAAACATGATGCTATGAAGTGATGCCTGCAATGATGGAGATATGCACAGGCATGATAGGTGCCCCATGGAGCAGATGCCACCCTTGCTGTAATTTCCTTTCCTACAAGCAGCAGGCAATGATCTGTGTCCAGAGTGGGCTTAACCAGAGAAATACAGGACCTGAGGCATGGAGGAGGGTCCAGGTCTCCTTGTGTAGTCTGGCTCATGTAGAAGGGTGTTTCTTTAATGAACTCTCTTTGCACTGGAGCCAGAAGATGCTATCGTAATTACAGTACAGAATGTAAATGATAACAGACTTAACAAGGACAAATTAAGGCATACCTGATAAAATAAATAAGAGGTGGGGCAGAAGTTGAGAGAAGGGAGGGTCACAGATTTCCTCCTCCTACATAGCGTGAATTAGGAGATACCATTGAAAATTGATAGATCAATACATAGAGGAATGGACAGGCATGGTGGTTCATACTTGTAATCCCAGCTCTTTGGGAGGCCAAGGCAGGAGGATTGCTTGAGGCCAGGAGTTTAAGACTAGCCTGGTAAACATAGTGAGATCCTGTCTCTACAAAAAATAAAAAAAACATTAGCTAGGTGTGGTTGTGTGTGCCTGTCATCCAAGCTATTTCAGGGCCTGAGGCAGGAGGATCACTTGAGCCCAAGAGTTCAAGGCTGCAGTGAACTATGATTGCACCACTGCATTTTGGCCTGGGCGACAGAGTGCGACATGGTCTCTAAAAACAGTAAAATAAATAGAGGCTTAACCATCTTATTTAAAGGTTCAAAGATAATCCATAGAATAAAAAAAAAATAATCAGATTTAAGAAGAAAGGAAGTGGGGGTAGTGGTATAAGTGAACCAAATTGTTCACATTCATAGTGGTCAATCAATAGAGGTTATTTAAAACCGATGTCTGGCTGGCCGTGGTAGCTCACGCCTATAGTCCCGGCACTTTGGGAGGCTGAGGCAGGTGGATTGCTTGAGTCCAGGAGTTCAAGACCAGCCTTGGCAACACAGCCAAACTCTGTCTCTACGAAAAAAATACAAAAATGAGCTGGGCGTGGTGGCTTGCACCTGTAGTCCCAGTTAATCTGGAGGCAGAGATAGGAGGATCATTTCAGCTTGAGAGATTGAGGCTGCAGTGAGCTGTGATCCCATCACTGTACTCCATCTAGGGCAACAGAGCAAGACCCTGTCTCAAAAATATAAATATACACTCCAGCCTGGGTGACAGAGTGAGTGAGACTCCATCTCAAAATAAATAAATACATAAATAAAATAAAATAAAATAAAGTAAACTTGGTACCTAGAAATAGTGGCATAGAAATAATGGCTGTTATTTAGACTCTTAGAGGTAAATTGCTAGTAGAAAAGAAATGGAAATGGTCAGAAGCAGTTACCTCATTACCTCAGGCAAGTAGGACAGGGGCCAGAGTGAGCAGGAGTTTAATTTCATTGTATAGATATAATTTTATGTATATATGTAAAAATATGAATATGCTTTGATTATTATTATATTATTAACTGTGTACATATATGGTATTTTAATTTTTTCTAGAAGAAAACTTTTTATGGAATCCTTTTAGGGACTTTTTGGCCTATTTTTGATTTTCCTTCTCTTTTTTCAGATGATCGATTTCCAGAATATGGCAAAGTGGAGTTTGTATTTTCTTACGGACCAGAAAAAATTCAAGGTATAAGCCAAGTTAGAATTCATTCTCTCACTCCTTCCCTGTATCCTGACCCTATTCCCACCACCCTCCCACCCCTGGTCTGTTCCACAACGATCAACTTATCTTTGAGAGGCAGGCCATCAGTAAAGGATCTGGGTTTCAGAGTGGACCCCTAGCTAAACGTGAACCAGTGACTTAATCTCTGGATAATAAAAATAAAAAAGCAGACAGAGAGGCGCTGGCCTGGATAAACTGTTCTGGTTCCCTTAGGTCATCAGCCTGCTATATTCAGAGACTGAGGGCCACGGTAGATGGAGGGTGTGGCTGGCGGGCGGGGGGCACTCAAAGGTGCTGGATAGATGAGTATTTATGAGAACTGAGGTGATTCAACCTGAAGGCCAGTTTAATAATAACCTTTAAGCCTCCAGACTGGTTATAAGTGGAGACCAGTTGTTCCCCATCTTATTTGAGAACGGAATGAAAGGAGATGAAGTTAGGTTACGGGCAGAGGACCCTGGATGGACTATGGAAAAGACTGCCAAGCCAGGAAGGGAACTCACCCTGAAAGGCTTGACTGGCATCTGTACTGTCTTTGAGCTGGGTTTAAAACAATTTTATGTACTTATTTTTAAATTTTACTTTAAGTTCTGGAATCCACGTGCTGAATGTGCAGGTCTGTTACATGGGTATACATGTGCCATGGTGGTTTGCTATACCATCAACCAGCCATCTAGGCTTTAAGCTCTGCATGCATTAGGTATTTGTCCTAATGTTGAGCTGGGTTTTCTGCAGGTAGGAAGGAGACTCTGCCGTGTCCCTAGGTTTCTGTCCAGAGTGGAGAGAATTTTAGGAGTGGGGCAGGGCTATGCCCAGGAGGACCTTTTGGAGGGTCTATGCCCTTTCAATGTCAGGGCTGTGATTTCCTGCTGTCCCTGACCCCGTGCAGCTCATAACCAGCCTGTCCCTCATCCCCAGCGTCTGACTTCAGGGGCAGACTTTCTAGTCTCTTGGCACTGCCTCAGGAGCCCCAGGGACACAGAAGAGAAAGAGACAGACACCCAGCCAGGGGTCCTTCCTGCTTTCTTCCAGGGGGTCTTCATTCTTCAGTGTCTGTCCTGATTTACCCCTATGACCCGGCATGAGCCTTTGCAAGAATGTTAAGAAACTAGATTCCCAGTTCTCCGTCCAGCTTAAGCCACTGGTCCCGCCTGCCATGCTCAAGAAAACGAGAAGTCCCTCAGGGAGCATTCTTTGGGGAGCTTGTGGGCTTCTCTGTTTTTCCAGCTGCTGATCTCTTTTCCCTCTCCACACTGTCTCCCTGCCTGCCCCTGCCTTTCCCATCCCTCTTAGGAATGGAGCACCTGGAGAATGGGCCGAGCGTGTCTGTGGACTATAACACCTCTGACCCCCTCATCCGCTGGGACTCTTACGACAACTTCAGTGGGCATCGAGATGACGGCATGGAGGGTAGGTGGGACCCAGTGGCTCCCGGCCCCTCTCCAGACTGCACAGCCTCTGCTCACGTGACCTTGCTTCTCTTGGTCTGCTGTCAAGAGATCTGGGTTCGAGAGGAGGCAGAGGGGAAGTCAGAGGTACCTCCAAGAGCTCATAGTTCACTGGGGGACGCTATGGCACACATATGAATGCATTAAACATTAAAAATGAGGACAGAGCCAAAGAGTACAGCAAAATGGCCACCAGGGGGTTATCACGGAAGTTTATTGCTGCAGCCAAATCAGTTTCGTGGACAGTGAGTTCTCTGGGATCGGCAGGGGAGGGATTTTGAGAGCTGGAGTGGTCTGGGAAGGCTCTTTGGAGGATGCGGTCTTGAGTGGAGCTTGAGATACCCCACACTGCGTGGCAAAAACAGCATTTGTTACATGTACATTAAACCCACTGTTGGGTTTCTTCAGGCTTGCTGCCTGAGTTCTCTGGGGTCAGAGCACTAGGAATAGAGACACAGGATCTAGGGCCTGTGAGCTTTCATCCACAGCCAACACAAATGTTTGAGAGCTGGGAACAAACTGATAGGCCCTGAAATTTGAAAAGAAAGCAGCAGAATTGAAATTAATACATGTTTAATTTAGCTACAAACCTAACATTATGTCAAATGGTCAACTGCAACTCAGGTCGTCTCTTGAGAGTTCTACGTGTGTTTTATTTATTTATGTGGTTTATTTGCATGTATATAAGGTGATTTGGGGTGGGCTTTGAAAGTGAGCATGCCTAGAGCTCAGGAATTCTTGAGATGCCCTGTCTGGGGTTTGGCCACAAGCTTCTTTTCATGATTTGGTGGTAGGACCGCAGAATGTTGGAGCTGGGAGGACCTTCGGGATGGTCCGGCCCATCTCCCATCTGTGTTCTGTTGGGGTAACTGAGACCCCACCAGAGGCAGAAACTCCTGATTTACCCCCATGACCCAGGAAGGCCCTTTCAAGGATGACAGCACCCAGCATTTGGGCTTCTCCTCCCAGCTGAAGCCAGTCCTTGGTGGGGCTGTGCCATCCTGGGGCCCTTGGCAAAGCTGGGTTAGAGACAGGCAGGCCTGGGGGCCTCCCCCTGCCCTCTTTCCTCTGTACCACCCTGTTTCCTGTCTCCTTCCCCAAGGTTTTGAATTTGACGACTCCTCTCTGAAAGTCTTTGGACCTGTTTTTTTTTTTGAGATGGAGTCTCGCTCTGTTGCCAGGCTGGAGTGCAATGACGTGATCTCACCTCACCGCAATCTCCGCCTCCTGGGTGCAAGTGATTCTCCTGCCTCAGCTTCCTGAGCAGCTGGAACTATAGGCGTGCGCCACCACATCCAGCTATTTTTTTTTTTGTATTTTTAGTAGAGATGGAGTTTCATCAGGTTGGCCAGGATGGTCTTGAGTTCTTGACCTCATGATCCACCCGCCTCGGTCTCCCAAAGTACTGGGATTATAGGCATGAGCCACTGCGCCTGACTGGGCCTTTTCTTGAAGAAAGATTTCTCCTCTGACCTGGGGGCACCAGAATGAGCACAAGGTTTCAGAGAGAGGTGGGATGAGGGAGGGTGGTTGGACTATAATTTGGGGACTTGCTGAGAGCACATTTTTTATGTTTAATGTTGCAAAGTGGATGGATGGCCTGTCCTCACACCTGCTTCGGTTCCCAACCCCTTCCTGTGGTGTTTTTCCTCTCCCAGGGGCTCAGTACCCTTGGATTGGCCAAGACACCCCACCGGGTCCCTCCGACCCCCTAGGCTGCTCTGGAAAAGCAGCCTCGTGCTGAGTGGCCAAGCAGAAAGCGGAGGCTGGAGTGAATTTGTTCTGAGGTCTCAGTGGCTGCCAGCCTAATTGGCCATTGTGCTGGGGATGTTTGCATTTTTAACAAGAACACTTGGCAATTGGAAAGAATTTTTACTGTCTCTCCATCTCTCCTTGGTGCAGAGTCAATGCGATGATAAATGTTAAAACATTTAGTAAGCTATAAAGTGCCAGGCAAATAAAAGGTAAAATAATTAAGGGTGAGGAGGAATTGTGGGAAAGATGGGGCTTAGGATGTAGTTGGCCGTGGGGGAAGGAAGAAGAGCAGACGGTCAGAGTGGTCAGAGTGGGAGGCGGCCCAGGGACAGCAGAACTGAGAGCGGCTCCCCCTCTCGGCAGAGGGCCAGCTTCTCAGCCTCCAGCCAGGGCCCCTCTGTACTTGCAGGACGAGCTGACCTTTAACTGGCCAAAAGGTCCTGCTGGTTCCATCCCTCTGCCTGAGGGAATAGATTAGAAGGGAGAAAAGGAAGGGCAAGGGGGCAGGAGAGGTGGCCAGGACCTTCCCTCGCCAGCCCTCTGTCCCCTCTCCCTGCCTGTGGCAGCCTTCATGGGAGGCAGTTTAGTATGTGGTTAAGAATGCAACCTCCGCAGACAAACTACCTGGCTTCAAACCCCTTGACAAGATACCCTCCGTTGGGGCCTCGGTTTGTCCTGCTGTGAAATGGGGATTCAGTCATCAAATCATTTTCAACCCCTTGAGGGCAGCACAATCTGAGGAGGGGCTGTGTGCCGTGCTTCCTCAGGAGTCCCTGATGGATCGCTGTGGCCAGCATGTCAGGCGCCCGCAGACATGGCTAAGGGAGAAGGCCTGGGCTTACCACGCGTCAGACCTGGCACCAAGAACTTGGTAGTTGCCATTTCATCTGATGCGCCCAGCGATTCTGTGGCTGTTATTACGTCCGGATGGGGAAGCTGGAGCACAGAGGGTAACCCCTTAGGAACCTGCCCCAGTTTGCTAAGCCTGTCAAGAAAAGATCTAGGTTTCAAGCCACCACACTGCCCACTGTGCTGTCCTGGGTTGGCTGACGTCCCTAGGGGCCTGCTCTGGGCATCTGGTTTGGTGGCAGTACCTGGGTCTCACTGAGCCTAGGACCTCTCTAGCCAATACTCTCACCTGTGGACAGACAAGGTCACCCCATCCTGACTGTTAGGAAGAGGGAGGGTTAGGTGAGGGGGGCTGTTCGTGGAGCATGGCACCCAGAGGCACTGGGCTCACTCTGAGGCAGAATGTCAGTGCAGGCAACAGCTCAGCCCCTGGCCCCCCCCACAGAGAAGAGTGTGGGCCACTCACTCCGGAATGCTTCTGATGAGTGGCTGGCTTCTCCAAACAGGTAGAGGGATGAGTGTCCAAGGTGACCTGGGGCCACTTGTGAAAGTGGCCCCCCGTCTACCTCTTCTATTTCAGGCCCACTGGGGGAGGGTGATAGTAGAGGCCAGACCATTCCCTCTGAAGCCCACCAGGTGACTAGGAATGGAGGGCAGGGAGCACTGAGCCAGGCAGTCAGGAGCAGATGTCATCTCTGGCCTGTATCCTCTCATGTGACCTGTGTCCCCACCTTGCCCTCTCCTGGTAGTGAAGCATGGCCAGCACTGGGCTCAGAGCTCCTGGTCCCCCAGGAGGCCCTCCTACTGATCCTGACTCAACCTTTGGCTCAGGAACTGCTCTGCATTTAACTCTTTCCTCACTGCCTGCAGCCCCCCAACCCAGCTCCAAGTTCAAGTTTATAGCCTGCAGCACTATGACACTTAGAGCCTTCTCCCAAATTCTGTTGAATTGCTATTCTCTGAAGGCTGACCTCTCAGGCTCAGGGGGCCAGGCCAGTCATAAAGCCCAAGAGGAAAGGGACTTGCCAAAGGGGCAGGAAACCCCCATGTATGGATCCTCCTTGGCATTAGCTCAGCTCAGCCTGTACTAACCCCATATCCTGAGTGAAGACCCTGGAAGTAGGCAGAGGTTAGCAATCTTGTCTGGGGTCATGAGACAAGAGGTGGAGTTGATACTGGAATCCAAATCCCTTTCCACCTCCCTTGGAGCTCAGCTTATCAGCACCCCCGAACCCACACCCCTAATTCATTGAGGTGGCTCCTTCAGGGCGGTTGTCTCACTTCTGCAGCCCTAATGATGACAGGGACTCACTACCACACAGGGCAGCCTGTTTCACTGTGGGACGGGTCCAGCTGTGCCTCTGTTTAGCATTCTGAGGCAGTGGTAGAGACTTTGCACTCACCGGCACTTGGGCAAGAAGAAGGAGGCACTTGATGAGGGTGAAAAATCAAATGGAAGCTCAATAACAATGACTTTCCACCAAACGATGTTCTCTGCTATGGGACAGTGGCTAGGAGCAGAGTGCCTGCCATCTTGGGGACCCTTTACTTCCAGAGCAGTGCCTTCTGGTGAGCCTCACACCTGAAGTATTGTTAGTCTGTTCGGGAAGCCACAGCAAAACACCACGGACCGGGGGGCTTGTGCCACAGAAATGAATTTTCTCCTAGATCTGGAGGCTGCAAGTCTGAGATCCAGGTTTCAGCGGACTGGTTTCTCCTGAGACCTCTCTCCTTGGCTTGGAGATGCTGTCCTTTCCCTGTGTCTTCACATTATCTTCTTTCTGCATGTATCTGCATCCTCATCTCTTCTATAAAGAGACCAGACGTATTGGAGTAGGGCTCACCCTGATGATCTCTTTTCACCTTAATTGCCTCTTTAAAGGCTATATCTCCAAATACAGCGGCATTCTGAGCTGCTGGGGGTTAGGACTGCAACACAGGAATCTGGCTGGGAAACAGTTCAGCTCATCACACCTGAGAGGGAGTTTTCTGGGTTGTATGTATTTGGATGCCCCTGGCCTTTGATACTGAGTGGGTAGGAAGTAAGGGTCAAGGATGGGTGGTGGCAAGAGGTCTGGTCCCCTCCTTGCGGGTGCCTCTGCTTTTCTCCAGTTAGGTCTGGAGCCTGCCAGCTTGGTGTTCTGGCCTACACCAGTTTCACAGCCTCCAGAAGCCCCATTAGCAGCTTGGCCTGAGTTCTGACACCCTGTGCTCAGATTCCAGGTCCCCATGGGTAGGGGTGACGCTGTGTTTTTGCCTCTGCAGTATAGCACAGGCTCCAAATTCCTCCGTAGTGCTCCAGGGCAAGCGTTCTCAGAAGCAGGCCCTGAACCAAGGGATGTGGGCTGCCCTCTGCCC